TAAATTTCGTTTTATCATTCATATGAAAATGTATCGGCAATAATAGATAATATTCTTCTTTTACCATCAATTCCACGAATATTGCTATCTAATGCATCTTGAAATGCATTCCAAAATTGCTTTGTATGGTTTTTCAGGATTTGTTTGAAGAAATCGACAATTATACAATTGAATTAGTGTATCTTTGTCTTTATCTGGATCTTTTGACCGCGTCCAAAATTGAAGCTAAAAAAATTTTTCAGTTTAAAATTATGTAAATAAAATTGAATTTTTAATTAGTTACCTCTGAATCTTCTTTTTCAAAAGGGGTTATCTTAATACAACCAGCATGACGCAATAAAGCTTTCCACGCCCGAAATTCATGATCTTTGATAATATAACCAACTGGATATATTTCTTTTAGTTTTTGTGTTAATTCAATAATACTACTTTTTTGATTTGCCATTCAATAAAAAGATTTTTCCAATTAATAGACGTTAAAACACGTTTTTTCAATTGGAAAATTTTATTCATAGTAATTTCTTCATTTTTCCAGTCATCGGTCGTACAATAGGGAATTTTTTCTCGATCAATTACTAATTTATTTCATTATGTTCCAAGTCCAAAGAGGGTGTTTCCTTTAAATTTTGTTACATATTTCTTGAAATTCTTTATAAATTCTAACAATTGCTTAATCATCGTCAATTCTTGAAAAAATAATGATCGAGAATGGTTATAATCATGTATAAAAGAACTTTTATACCCTTCACCCGCATAATTCCAATCAAGATTTTTTGATCACCAATACTAAAAACCATTATATTCAAATTCTCTGCCTTAAAAAGCAAAGGGACGAAAATGTACATCTGAAAGTAATGTTTCAGATATATGCGGAATGTCAAATCCCATAACCAAAGGCCCTGCATGTTTTGTTTTATTAGAAAAGGCTTTTTGACATACTGAAGTAATCGCTGTGATGAACTATTACATACGTTATTACATAAACCAAGACGAATTGGATATACAGTATAAAAAGGTATATTATTATTAGTCAGGCGTCAGACAGGCGAGCTAACCGCCATTCTCTAGCATATGGTCCATAATGCAAGTTGTCTATAAGTTCTCCTGCAGAAATAAGTGAAACTGAGTATTCTTTTTGCTTTGACATTGCTTTAGTATTACTTTAGAAGTAGTTTAATAAGTCAGCAGATTAGAAGGATTCTGAAAAACGTTTAAAATGTATATAAATCGCATATACTATATGTCGATCACCGCTTATCAGGCGGACTACGAATTAATATATATATTATATCTTAGCGGAAATTTTTATGGCAGATTCTCGTACTGCTTTCGAGATTCGAGACATTTAAAGTTTTTTTCTAGAAACATTCCGTCTGTTGAAACAAGTAATATTTAAACTAGGTAAACGCGGTAAGAAGCTTTAAAATGTTTTTTAATATTTGAAGTTAACTATCATACCATTATATGAATATGATACTTAACAGTTAATGTTAACGATAATGTAATTTTTAAAGAATCTGAAATGAAATTGGAAATTTGACCGTTCTTTATATTGAATTCAGTTACATAGGCGTAATACAGTAGCATCTTCACTTAAATATTTCTGTAATCATAGAACAAAGAAAATCATCATATCCCTTTAACTTATTCAAATATTAAAGATTTCACTTTTCCAAACGGGAGATTACTACGAATTTTATAGTTATAAATAATAAGAGAGCGGTAATTAATGATATTACATATATTGAAAAGTGCTTTAGATCAATTCCGACGGAATATCAATCTTCACGCGATTGTGACCGAAAAAATTTCCGAATATCATTAAAATATTTAAAATTAGTATAGAAAAGCAATAGTGTTTCTGACCTTAACTAAAAAATAATGTGAAATATAGTCATCAATAACACTGACAAAATAGTGTGTCTTGCTACATTTAAAGCTTTTCGGTTCTTTATACGAACGGATCAAATTGTTAATTGCCGATTAGGAAATAAGAGAGGGAAAATAATGAAAATGGGAACATCACCGTGCTGTTTTTACATCACTATACAAACATTATTAACAGTACATTTGATAATTAGCGTCTTCGATAGGTTTCTACATAGTTAGTAGTATTGATTATTGAATTTTACCATTGGTCAAAAATGTGATGATTCACATGACCGATCGGCCTAACGTTAAAGGTCAATTGAAATGCATAGAAAAATATTATAATTATATTTGGCAATGTATGTAAATAAAATATTGTAATGCATTTTTATTCATATTTGCTAAATATAATGAATTATATCATTATATCAACATATATATCAAAATAATTATTTATTGAGATTATTGCATAATACTTGACAATTATTATTTTGTAATGGTTTATTACATTATTATTATAATTCAAAAACCTGTCAATCTTCATGTTAACATGATACAGGATAACATGTATGTATATGTCAACATTATGATTACATGGATCGATGTATAATGATTGTAAAATCATGCCAAAAAAAATTGACCTTGACAGTAAAGTTATCTATAAGAAAATAACATAAGAAGAAATTTTTTAAAAGTCGGGATAGCAAAAAGGGTTGTTCCTTCATAAACATAAAACTATTAACTTTCTATCCCGTTAGATATTTTTTTATGCTCTATAGCCAAAACCTTCAAACATTCGTTGGATCAGGGAATGGTAATAAACGAAAGTAAATAAGCTAGAGAAAGGTTACTATGTAAAGTGTTGTCGATATCCTACGTCCGATAAATTTATATCACATTTTTTTCGGAATAAAAACTAGAAAATGATCATTTATAGGAGTTTTTCCAGAATTTTTTTATGTCGCTATTTAATAACTTATTCTTAATATCAATTTTTTCGTCATATAAAAAGCTTGACGACATAGTATATATATACTAGATATGACGAATTCAAAAGTAAGAGATTAAATAACATTTTGAAGTATATTAATTGTTTATAGCGGCGTTGTTTTTTAGCTAATCCAGATGATAAGGCAAGTGTGCAGCTAATAGTAGACAATAGACAACAAAATATAAATATTATTCAGTTATATAAATTATTAAACAACTAATAAAAAAAGTAATTTAATGACATACTATTAAAGGATCTAAGTAATTCAATATAAAACACTGCCATGTTCTAATCGGAAAAAATTTCAAATTCCAATTAGATATCACAGTATTACATTTTTTTTCAAACAATAATTTGAATGTGCGAGCTTTTTTTGTTTAAAGGCTAATGATATTTGAATATTTGACGTTTAAACTTCCAATCTTCCGCTTGATAATTAATCAATTCCTATCGTAACAAAATTTAGCCTTCAGAAGCTAACCGTAATAACCGTAACTAATAATTATGGTTTTGAGAGTTAATATTCTTTACGCTAAACGATTAAAATCAAACTTGCCAAATCTTCTAATTAATACTATGTTTATGATGAGATCATAAAATTTCTCGTGAAGGCTATTAAAAATCAAGATTGTATGAAAATTTATATTGCAATATTTATTAAATAGAATTAATCCAAATAAATCAATAATTCAAGTCTCGATAAAAAAAAGTTTCGAAAATAACATTATTTGATAAAAATACAGTATATAAAATTAGTCACAATGATGTCACTAACTAGGTTGCTATTTAATTTTTCAGTTGTCTGACAGGTCAATGCAAACGTTGTCTCCCAAGAAGGATACATATTATACTTATGATCATGTTCATTTTCGAATTGACACTCCACTTTAATTTATCCGTCACGGAAAAATAACGATTATGAACGGTCATTTTTGAACCACGATTTTCTACATCACATCCGAACACGTAACCTAGGCATTTTTAAAATATTGTAACCCACACGCGATTACGTGAGTTAAAACTCCCAAGTCAAAATTTCAATTTCAAATTGGAATTTGTTATTGTCAGTACACAATATGACTCTTATTGTCCAAAAAGAAAAACATTAATTGTTGAATTGAGATGCTCCAAAAAAAAAAAAAAATTTTTTTGAGAAACGAAAAAAAAACCAATTTTTATGACGCAGATGGCGCAGTCTAAAGTATTTTATTAAATTAATAGTATTACATATTTTTTCGTCCAATAAAATTTTTTATAAATAAAAATATTCGGCAAGATCTTTTTCTCTGCTTTAATTCGACCTTATGGATCTTATAGAAGCAGCAGATAAACGTCGATTTCTATTATATTCTCTAATTTTATCGCGTCGATGATTCCATCTTAATAACGCGTGATATGATCTTAGAACTAATTTATTTGCTATAACTAATCCACCAGATGAGAGATGGAATAAGATCATATGTTATGACACTATTGTAATATAGACCTTGGATAATGATTTGAGGTATATCTTCAACAAAAATGTTTATGATAACACCCCAAAGCATTATTTTTTTTGATCTTTGAGTCAAAGGAGCTGAAAATATTCTAAGGCCAAATAAATCCGACGATAAAGTGTTTAATATTTGTATATCAATGGCTGAAAATAATGTGCACATTGATGATAATGTCGGAGACTCCTTAACCCATTTATTGAACGATGGATTCATTGCCATTTCAGATACAAAAATATTTATGGCTAATAAAAAATTGATTACAATAGGTAAAATAAAGAATATAATACTAAATAATAACAAATAAGAAAATTAGTAATCAATTAAATTAATCTTTAAAATAATATAAATAAAATAATATTAAATGAGATTTCTTACGTTGGAATAAATAGATGTGGTGTATTTTTAACCTTTAATAATATGAATGCTAGATCCATGGCAATATCTTGCATTATAAAACAGGTCTCAATTATCACAGAGTTTCTTGCATTGGGATTTTTTCTACGAGCCAAAACATATAATACTATTATTACAGCCAAACCTACTACAAATATGATGATCAATGGATAAAATTCATTGATATAATCTCCTGTATAGTAATAGAATTAAAATTTAATGAAATATTAATCATTTACAAATAACAAATGTCAAAAATATTTAATAAACACACTTACGGGTCATTGTAAAAGGGGCACTTTCATCAATTAAAGATGTATATTCATTGAATGAAAGTGCAGTAAACCCCTTTTTTTTGATCAAAGTACTTATATCATCAAATATTATTTGGGAGTTTAGTTCGATTGTATGATCTTTAGCTTCAATTATGTTAAATGACAATAATACTTTTTTTGGGGAAGTAGGGTCATATTGCCATTTACCACTTGCTGATAGCCTCTGTTCAGTTACTGGAATTACTTTAGCAAATTCTTGAATCATATTCTTGAAAAATATTGAATGATTCATTTGGAAAAATTTTGAACTTCCTTCCTCGTTTAATCGTAATAATCCTGTAACTGAATCTGAGTGCTGTGCCGTTTTAAGTGGTTCTAAATATAGTAACAGAATATAAATTTTTCTATTCGATCATTAAAAAATTAAAAAAAAAAATATGTAAATTACTTGTTGAAAGTGTCCAAATATTCTTTCTAATTCCAATTAAAGGTTCATCTCTTTCTTGAGAGATGACAAAATTATTTTCAACAAGCACATAGTAGGTAGAATTCTGTTGGTTGAATGTGCTTTCAAAAATTGGAATATGTACTGTGCGGTTATCACTTCCAATGTTACATAATTTAGAATCTCCCGAAAATGTTTGACGTAATAGGCCCGGTTTATATTTATCATCATTTAATTGAAATATTGAAACATTCCCAGTAAATAACTTCACTGGAATGGTATATTTGATTGTAATTTCTTTGATCAAAGGATCAATAACTTCATTTATAGATGGCTTGACTGACTCAATTGCAGGATTAAATTCAGAAACTACAGATAAAAAAAATTATTATACTGTATATATATATGTAAACAAGAAAGAAAAGAGATTAAAAGCTTACCCTGTTTTAATTTTGGTAAAGGTTTGAATAAAAATTCTAATTTATTTTTGGCCTGTTCTTTTACTCCAAAAATAGTATTAATCAACCGAAATGTATTATAATGAAAGAACTCTGGCCCGAAGGATCCCCGTGATTGCATATCATTTCCATTATCATCCAAAAGATAAAAATCAATAGCAGTTGCATTTTGGTAAATCACAATAAATCCTCCATAATATAAAGCTCTCAAATCAAAGTTTGGAATATTTGTTAGAGTAGGAATTATCTCCAATCGTATTAGGGCCCCAGTTGATAAAAATCCCAACTGATAATAATTTATCTCGGTTTATGAATTATTATTATTCGTAATCGTGTTATTTAATGTCATAACACATATATATCCTTCAGCATGATAATAAGTCAGAGTACATGATTTAAGTGTTATATTATTTAATTTCTGAGTAGTTTCGTAAAGTAGAGAGGGTTTTGTAGGTAAATCTGTTTTCACTTTTAGAAATGACACGTAAATTCTCCAGTATTGAAGATTTGGATCTTTTGTTACTGGTGATCCTTTCGTTTCATCATATTTTAAAATATACAGGAAACCAAAACCTCCATCCAATAAATTAAAATTTAAACTATCTACTAAGGTATACGATGGTAGATTTGGTACATGAAATTCGCCACTATTATGTTCCACCACTTCTCCTGTTTCAATATTTCTAAAATAAGATGAAAAGCAAGTTAATCGACAAATATTTTCAAAAGAAATTATTTATTAATAAAAATACTTACGGAGAGCTATACCAATGCCATGCTGATATTCCTTTTTCGTCTGGCTTTTCAATATTAATAAACCCTTCATTTGATAATGCAACATATCCGTCAGCATTTCCTAAATATATTTCGCTAAAAAGAAGAATTATTATTGAGTCATTATAATTAACCTTCATAAATGAAGATGTTCCATCATTTAAGCTTACCTCATAATCTCACCGCTGTAATTAATTATCATTCCATGTTTTCCCTTAATACCATTTGTTGTTTTAGCATAATACAACAAAATATAATTATTAGCTACAGGCAAAAAATCAATATTAATGGGGCAAACTGCTTCCGCAGGAAGAGTATAATTAAGGTCTATATAATTGGTTTGTCCTGTTATTTTATTTATTATTCGTAAATGGAAATAAGGTAACATGCATTCAGGATCTTCATCCTCAAAGGCCATCCAAATCATCAAATAATCATGAGTGAGTAAAGTAGTATAAAGTTTAAGACCATCAATTGGTTCTTTGTAAATAAATGATATATCTTGGGGTGATATATCTTGGGAAGATGCATTTTGAGATAATATATTTCGTGATGATATATATTGAGATGAGACGGATGAGACGATGGATATTAAACAGATAAAAGTGATCAACACCTTTAAATTGAACATTTTTACTAAATGACTTTAAAAAATGGTAAATTTTTTTACTAAGAGACTTGAAAAATGGTAAGTTTTTACTAAGAGACTTGAAAAATGGTAAGTTTTTTTTACTAAAAGACTTGAAAAATGGTAAATTTTTTACTTTGGGAATTACAGAACAGAACATTTATATATATTTCTCGCTATTATAATTTGATTTATTTATTAACTATTAAATTAACTATTAATAACTTTTCTTTTTATCAAACGTGTTTCAATTATTATTGTAATACAATTTCAAGCATTTCTATTATTATACTACCAAATTTGTATTTCAAAAACTGATCTGCATTGCCTTATTCACATATGTAAAAAACGTGGTGATAAATAAACACATGCGGTCTTTGTTTTTTTTCATTCGCAAAGAATTTTTTACAAAAGCTTTCATTAATATAATACGCTAATTTTGAACAATAAAAACCGTAAAAAGTATGTTATAGTAATTTGAACTAGTCTATTAATAATTAATTAGTAATTTAAATGGAAAATTAATTGTTTACATCTACACACTTTGAAAGTAATTCAGAACCTAGTATTTGGTATAATGCACATGCGTTTGGTACCAAGGAATTAGTAAACCGTCAATTACCTTGTACAAATAAACTGGAAGCAATTAAATCATATAACTGAAGCACTGTGATCAATGAACTTAAAGATATGGTAAATTATTCACACAATAATATTCTGGAAATAAATATTAAATTTTTTAAATTTATTAAAATTTATCATAATTTAGTGATAAAATTATGATATCACTGCTTGCAGAAATTTGACATTTTGGTATATTACAACTATGTTTCATCATTCTATGATTATTGGATGCAAAATGGCGCAATAAGCCAATTTGCTGACATATTATTCCTCATCTACCGTATTGTACCTAGAGATATGAAACCATTGCAAGGGAATGGAAGGATATTCATAAAAGTTTACGTCTTAATTTAGCGTAAAACAATGATAGAGAGCAAGGTAACACAACATAATTAAATTAAAATTTTTAACATTGAGACATTCCTATTGTTTAATTGTCATGATCACCGGTGAAAGCCGATCTATTTTAAGATAACAATCCTTAATAAATTACGGAGACATACTACACGTTACATTCGTTACAATACAAAACTCAAAATTAACTTATACGGGGTAATCTATAATTTACTAGAGATACAGTGAAAAATTTATTCCGTGTTTTTTTATTCCATGTTATTTCCGTAAATGTATCAAATTCACGGAGTTTATAGCCTCAAACATGAAAATGATCCAAGTTAAATTATTTTCTCATAAATGTATCATATTCACGGGGTTTTTCAGAAATTACGTTTTACAAAGTTAGTTTAATTAGTATTTCTATTTAACTAAGTTATAATTATGAATAATAGTTAATTATTCTATTACTATTAAAAATTAAAATAATTATATTTATTCCTATTACTTTATTATTACTGTCCAAAAAGACTACTAGTAGTATTTAAAATATTTACAGTATTAAATATTAATAATTAAAATTGATGAACTGCAATAAATATAGAGTATACTATATACTACAATTAGTACAATATGTAAATCCATCATCATCTATATATCGCTTTCATGTTCCAAACTTGTGAAGGAAAATGAAAATGAGAAAAAAGAATATGAAAATGAGGATAAAGAAAAAGTGGAGAGGAGAAAATTATTCTCTTAACGCTGTGACTTGTGTAATTGGCGCATAGCCTTTAGCCATTTGGTCGGGGTCAGATGTTAGTCCATGACTAAAATCTAAATAACATCGGAGGTGACGATCACCACTGCCAAAAACTAGGGAGGAGTGTTAATTAATAATTGTGTCTGAAATTTCGCCCTAATTGTGATGATCATCACTGCGGAACATCGCCTTTCATTTTTACTCTTAATTCCTTTATCTTAGTTTAGCCCCCTACCTCCTTTCCTTTCTTTCTTTTTTTACGAAACTGGAAAAATAAAACTTGGATTTTTTTCTTTCATAAAATTTGCTTTTATAAATAAAATGGTACGAATTTCTTGGATTGTACTTTAGTCTTTGCTGTTTTACTTGTGAATTTTATCTCCGATTCTCCGGTTGAATTCGCTACGAAACGCAGAGCTTTAAATTCTTTAGTATGGTAGCCAGAAACATACCAACCTCATTCCGTGGAACTAACCAATCTCACTCAATTATTACGCAAGAGAACAGCAACTACTAAAGGAAAACGTTATAATAATCCATTTCCAAATTATCATAGAAGTGTAAAATGAGTCAACTTGAAGAAACATTAAATAAAATTATTATGCATACTACTATAAAAGAGAAAAAAATTTTTAATAATAATATGTATAATATGCGTTAGATTTCGTATTAGCGAAATTGTTGTTTTTTTTTTCCTTTAATTATTTACTTATTCAAATACTGTAATGGATCCTTTTTTTCTTTATCATAATGTAATTTATTTTGATTGGACGAAAAAATATTTTAGAATTAATAAAAATGCAGAATGTTTTGGTTCTGGTAAGTTATTCATAACAAGAATTCGTGCAAATAACCAAAACAAACACAATAAAATAAAATAATTACGTTAATTAAAAACATGAAACAATATTTTTCAACGTACATAACCAATATGTTACGCATTTAAAATAACTATTCTTTGAGGTTATTTATTTATTTATTTTTCGTAAAGCAGGCAATAGACTAGCACAACTATTCTTTGAGATTTTCATTTTGATATTCTTTGGTGTTTTGTATCTGATTAGCCTAAAATTCACATCAACTACGTAAATGAAATTAATAAAATTGTTTTTTTTTATAACACTTCTCATACTTTCTATTAAAAAAATTCTTACATTTGTAGACTATTTTTTATTTTTTTTTTTAGGTTGTTCTTTCTGCTCTTGTGTGAAATTTTGGTTGGTTTATTTTTTTTAATTGCTCTTATTTAACGAACGATTAACAGCTCGTTTTCTTTCTAATTTTAGGTGGTTTTGGGTTATGAGATTTTGATAAAGTAATTTCGTTTTTTTTTCTTTGACGATTTTAATGAATTTTACTAACAATTCATTTTTCGTTTTTTTTTTTTAGATTTTGCCAATTTTTTCTGGAAGTGAAACTCGTCCGAAGCTGCAGAAACTAGTGGTCTGAAATACTATCATTTGAATACAACTCATAAAGTTTATGAAAAAAAAGCGATATGTATAACTACAAAAATTTTTTATATATTTAAAGAAAATAATATTAATTATATACTGTATATATTATAGGAGCAACTTAAAATTGATGATGAATTTAAAAGTGATACCTTACAAAGAACCTAAACAAAAAGAATTAAGGAATTCAGTTTGCGATTGGATGGTAACGGATGGAATACCTTTCAATAAATAGAAATGGTTTTAGAAGAATGATGAAAAAAGTCAATCCCCAATTTCAACCACCATGTTATCAAACATTTAAATAAGATTAGGGTCTCGGATATCAAACGGCAAATAAATTAATGAAAAGTATGCTAAATTCTATGTGTGATACTGCTTCAATAACAACGGATTTATGGACATCATGTGCTACAGATCAAATGGAATTAAAGGATATTCCATTATGTATAGAACCAATAAAATATCCACATACTGGTAGTCATATACGAAACTATTATAGTTAAAGAACTCAAGTTAATTAATAAGATTACTTACCGATAATGGTTGTAATATGGTAAAAGCAATCCAAGAATGGGAAGGTATATAACGCATACCTTGTTCAGCACACACTCTGCAGTTATGTGTAATCAAAGGTTTAAAAAAAACAACAGATTACGTTGAACAAAATGAAAAATTGGAAGAAGCACAAGCTGAATTAAATGCAAAACTTGCGCAACGTGATTTACAAAATCAAATCAAGATAATAATCAAATGAAATGCCAGAAGAACGCCAACCACATATTTTACGAACAATTACTGGAAGTGTCAACAAGATTGGGATTTGCATTAGCTTCATGACGAAGAGATTAAGGGAATTGAAACCTGCAATTAGACGCGCTTTAGTTAATTTAAGTATTAAAGTGATTATCGGAGTAAAAAAGACTATAGAGTATGATAGACAGCTGCAGGAACTAATGTTAAGGAATTTATTAGATAAATTAATTGAGTTGTTCAAACCAATTGAAAATTTTTGGGTGGTCAAAAGTATTGCACGTATCATTAATTTATCCTACTATTCAAGCTCTGAAATATTCTTACGCAACAGAAAACGATGACAATAAGAATAATGATGAAAACTGTGATAATGAGAATAATGATGATGAAAATAGTGATGAAGATAGTGATGAATTTGATAATAAAATGGTAATATTTAATTATTATTTTAATTTTAAATTATATTATCATTTATTAATATAAAATTTTGTTTTAACAGATGATGATGATGCGAAAGTTCATAGATTCTATTAATTCAATAGATGAACAAATCGATATTACGGCTATTATTAATAAAATTAAAGAAGAAATTTATAATGCGCTTTATGACTATCTTGATAACCACCTAACGCAACTATTTTGGCAAGTGTATTGGATCCAAGATCTAAACAAATGCATGGGATGAAAAAACAACATCACTTTTATGATCTGAATACAAAGAAGAAGAAGAGTCTTTGAAAGAAACAAATACAAATACTCATTTTCAAGTTAATCAAAAATGCAAAACTTTTGCATCCCGTGTTTTTGGTTTCTCTCGGTCTCAAATTTCAATTTATGAAGAACATTCTTACTATTTGGATGAAATAAAAACACCACAGGCTCTTCCCGAAGTAGATCTCTTAAAGGAATAGATTAAAGCCTCAACTGTTAATGTATTACTCTTTATTAAGCGAAATAATATAAATACATAAATCCATTTGTATAAATTATAGCTTCATTATGTTATAGTTGTTTTAATAATAAAAAATATTTGCAAATATAAACTATACAAAGCCAATAGAGGTGTATTTATTATTAACAGTAAAATCAGTAAAATCTCAAATTTTACTGTCAACTAATATTAGTGTGCGATTGTTTTTATTAAATTTTAGTGAAAAAAATTTTGATCGATGATCATTTCCCAATTAATAATTATGCCAATTAAATTTCCAAATGAGAAAACTATATTACTATAGCGGATTGTTTTTGTACTACCTCAATACATAATAAATAACGTTTGTGGCTACGTTTGACAACCTTTGTGTTTACCAACACCTGCCAGGCTCCCACATAAAATCTTGCGCAATGACGAAAACTTACGACGAAACTCTATTAAGATTGTGGAATAACGGTATACATGATACTAAAAAAACTACACAAGCTTACGAACGTTCTATCCACAATTTATAGAAACATCGAAAAAATAAAAAAAATGCGTTAGAGCATGCTGGAGGGAATGGTTGACCTAAAAAGATTACCGCAAGCGGCTCCCGTGTATTAGCCGTGATACTTCCCTTTCCACAAGGACTTTAGCGAGAAAATTACAAAATATAGGTGTAGAGGCATCATATAGAACTGTTGGAAGGCGCCTTTTAGGAGTTGGCTATTTAAAAAGACTACCCAAAGCAACACCAATGCTGACTGAAGCACACAAAATAAAACGGGTATAATGGACACGACAACATATTAGTGACCGATGGAATAAAACTGTGTTTACAGATGAAGCAGCATTCCAGCTTTTTAGGAATACTGTATAACGTTGGTATAAAGGAGAGAGGCCGGTTCGGCGTATGCCTAAAGATCATACAAAAATTATGGCGTGGGCGAAGGGGAAAACAATCTTATTTTGTTTCACGCAAATCATGAATGCTGAATTTTATGTGGAAATTCTTCGTAGACATGCTCCTGATGCTTGGTGATCGTTGGCGCACAGGACAACGATCCCAAGCACTCATACAAGTCGTCTTGCAAAGGCCTTCTTCAAAGAAAATTTTCGGTAGTTTTAGAGTGGCCATCCAATAGCCCCGACTTAAGCCCCATTGAAAACTTATGGTGAATTATTAAGAATAAGGGATGCCAAGAAATCTTGATGATCTGGAGAAATTTATGGCGGAGGAATGACAAAATATACCAAATACCGTTCTAATCAATCTTTCAAAGTCAATGAAATGGAAAAAATGGGTCATATTAATTTTTTTTTAATCTTTAAATAAAAAAAAAATTCACGTGATTTATTATAATAATTGAGTGAATTGAGTGACCGATGTTTTGATTCTCATTTTTTTTGTCCAACACTGTACGTCTTTAATTGATGAAAGCGCACCTTTTACAATGACCCGTAAGTGTGTTCATTAAATATTTTTGACATTTGTAAATGATTAATATTTCATTAAATTTATATTCTTTACTTTACAGAAAATTATTTTGAAGAATTTTACATGTTTCAGCGAGTCTAAAAAATTCCGAAGGAAGAAACTCTGCGACAAAGTAAGAAATTTCATTTAATATTATTTTATTTATATCTGATTTTATTCTAAGATTAATTTAATTGATTACTTATTTTCTTATTTATTATTATTTAGTATGATATTCTTTGTTTTATCTATTGTAATCAATAGTTTCATTATCTGTTATTCGTAATCGTATTATTTAATGTTATAACACACTTTGCTATCAATGTATGTTTTTTTGATAGTATATTACAATCCTTTTATTATATTATTATCATGGATTTTGATATGTTATAAAGATATCATGCATGACAATATGGTTATTGATACAGTATTTGACATATAAAAGAATATTTGTCATACATTAATTAGTAATATATATGTTGGTATAGATCATGCTAATAGAGTAAATAGACTTAAAATTCACATTAATTTAACAGTTAAGGTATTATGTAAATATTATATTAAGCATATCAAATATTATTACAATATTCATATACACTAAGTATACTATATCCATTACGAACAATCTGCCTATTCTATACTTGAATGCGCCAATTTCCAAAATCGAACTACGCCACAGATCACGTGATTTTAGATACGCGCGAAAGTCAAAGTACACTAATTCATTCTTCTTTTTTTCTTTTTTTTCGTCTTCCTTCTTCCTTTTCCTTTTTTTCCGTCTCCTCTCCTTCTCTTTCTTACCCCCTTTCCCTTCTTTTTTTTCACTTCCCTTTTTCCCTTCCCTTTTTTTATCTCCTTTTTTTTGTCTTCCTTCCCCCTTTTCTTTTTTTGTCTCCCACCTCCCTTCTTTTCCTTCTTTTTTTTGTTTCTTCTTTTTTCCTCTATTTTTCGTTTCCCCTATTGATCTGTTGTGTAACAAATCTGATCGGCGCAAAAATTAGACTTTTTATAAACGCGTCTTTTTTATTTTCAAATTAAAATTTTTTATCGTTTTCCCTTTACCTTTGTTAATTTAGTTGTTTCTTTCCTCCTTATTTTCCTTTTTTGTTTTCTTTTTCTTTTTTTTTCCTTCTATTTTTTTTGTTTCTTTTTTCCTTTCTTTTATCTTTTTTTCTTCCTTACTTTTTACTTTACTTTCGTTCTTTCTTTCACATCATTTTCTAGACGAATCTTATAATTTATATTACACAAACACATGGTGTTGCGGCTTTTTTTAACTTTCAGAGTTAAGTCTTTTTCTTTATTTCTTTTTAGGTACACGCATCTTCTGGTTTCCATTTCAATAAGATCTAGGTAAGTTTCTCATTTCTTTTGTTATTTTCATTTTCTTTGCCTCTACTTATTCATCCTTCTCTTTCTCTCTCCTTTTTTCCGTCTCCCATCCTTTTTTTTTTGTCTCCTATCCTTTGTTTTCGCCTCCTATCCTTTTTTTCGTCCCACATCCTTATTTTCGTCTCTCTTTTCTTTTTTTCCTCTTTCCTCATTCCTCTTTTTTTATCTCTCTTCCTCCCCTTTCTTTTTTCTCTTTCTTCCATTCTTTTTCTTTCCCATTTTTTCATTTATCTTTCTTTTATCACTCTTCTACTTCTTTTGTTTTCTTTTTAGGTATAGCTTCGATTTTGATAAAACTTGGTAAGTTTTTTATTTTTTTTCTCTTCTTTTTTTTTCTTTTTAACTTTACTAATTCATTCGTCTCCTTTTCTTCTCCTTTTTCGTCCTCTTTTCCTTTTTATTTTCTTTCATTTTCATTTTCATTTCTTTTCTCTCTTCTTTTCGTTTCTTTCTTCCTTTTTTTGCCCTTCTTTCGTTTTTTTTTTTCGTCTTCACTTGCATTTATTAAAAAACTTAATTGTGAAACTTGTATTACACAAACCCTATAAAAATATTGTCCGGACATTCATCATGATATTGTACGTTTTTTATGTGGTTAAAAATTCTCAATCTCCGCATCTTGTATTAAATTGTAATAAATATTGTATAATAGCGTGCGAATGTCCGGAAAAATTGACCCCATTCCGAATATTTATTGGACAAACATTTTTATAGGGAAATCGCCTAATTGTGTGATCTTTTTTTTACATACGATTTCCCAATAATTCCATTTTGGTGGGGATTCAAGGCGAGTATTGTTCTTTTTTTACTATTTCTATTTTACCATTTTTATCTTTTATTAATTTGTTTATTCCCTTTTTTTTAGGCGAAGCTATTTGGGCTTTTGATTCGAATAAAGTGAGTAGCCTTTCTTTATTCACTCATTTCCTTTAACTTTTACTAATTCTTTGTTTCTTTTTTAAACGCATTGTCTTTTAGGAATTTAGTTGAAAGCAACCTTAATTTCTTTTATTTTATTTTTGATCATATAGATGTAACCAATGCAATAGATACATTTTTAAGAATACATTGTAATTGTTGTATTAAGGTTAATAAAAAGATATTTTATTTATTATTTTTGTAAATGTAAAAACATTATATTGATATACTGTACATGTTGTAATGTAAATTATATAATTAATGACATAATGTTTTAATATATATTGAACCAACTATTACAGAACATGAATATAATAGGGTAGCTGTATATGCTATTATACGGCTATCAAGAAAATATGCATTGATAGTAAAGCATATATATCCTTCAGCATTATACTTTAAGTCGGGAACATGATCTAAGTGTTATATTATTTACTTTCTGAGTAGTTTGGTAAAGTAGAGAGGATTTTGTAGGAAATCTGCTTCTCTTTTAAAAATGACTCGTAAATTTTCCAGTATTGAAGATTTGGATCTTTTATTACTGATGATCCTTTCGTTTCATATTTTAAATTATACAGAAACAAAACCTACATCCACTAAATCAAAATTTAAACTATCTACTAAGGTATACGATGGTAGGTTTGGCGCATGAAATTCGCCACTACTATGTTCCACCACTTCTCCTGTTGTAATATTAGATGAAAAAGTTAATCGACTGAACAATAAAATATTTTCAAAAAAAAAATTGTTTATTCATAAAAATACTTACGGAGTGCTATACCAATTCCATGTTGCTACGTCTAGCTTTTTTTTTTATGGTATTTATTACCGAATTTTATTAGTATAGGATGCAGAACTTACACCGGCAAACCCGTATAACCTACATTTATGCACATCAAATAGATGCCACTCCTGTCATACCACGCCATTGTTATTCTTCCTAACTATGAACAATGTTACCGGCCTATCCTTTAGTTCGGCTATTGTAAAAACTAACAGTTACACCTTTTTTACTGTTGAACCTTAGAATTAAATTAACCCCTCCAAAAATAATAAAAACAAATTTGAAATGGTCATTTGTTAGCTAAATTTGACATCGTGGTACATACGTACATTTTTTGTAAAAAATTACCATCTACGATATCTAGCAAAAAACCCGCATTTACGAAAACTATCCTAAAAACTTACTACCCTTTAAACACTCGATAACACTAAACCTTTTCGTTATCAGTTGCCCTTATCTTCTTTGGCCTGTCCACTGGTTTTCGATTTCCACTCTTTTCGTCTTGTCTTCTTTCGCAAGACGTTTCTTCATCTTCTCATTATTAGCGTCAAACTCTTCTACCTCCTCTTTACTTGGAATCCGATTAGAGCTATATGGCTTAAATTGTGGATTAATCTTTTGTTCCACAATTTCGTTTATTACCAGATGATGCGTAATCTTTTCCAGAAATGGTGGTCGCCCTCATCATCTACTTCCTCCGCTCCTTTGTATTGTATCTCTTTATATTCATTAATGAATTCAACCACATCATCCTCTGTTAATTCGTAATTATCTGATTTATTGACAAGACGTTCGATGCATTCTTCTTTTTTTGCGTCGTCTGCCTTCTCCGGATCACGTGATTGAGGGTCGTTCCTAAGGTTGTTGACAACGTTTACTACTTCCTCAGGTTCGACCGAGGGATGTATCACTTCTCTACTCATATTCTCCTCCTTTTCTAAAAGCCTGTCCAAGCTCCATTCATACGACCTTGAATTTTGTCCGAATCTATCGACCCAAATGAAAGGTTTCTTTCTTGTCGTTCAAATAGCGCTTGTTTTCTTAAGTTTCGTTGGCTCCTTCTTTCGTTCCGTTCTCTTTCCACTTGATCTTTCACCTCCTTGAAAGTCCGAAAGTCCATTTTGTTCCATCTCCTTTTCGGCCGCCTTCGATAGTGTGTCTTCCAGGTCCTTTTGCGACTTAAATAAGTCAAAACTTTCCAGGGCTGGACTCGTCTGGCTTTCCAATATTAATAAACCCTTTATTTGATAATATACTATGTTTTTTAGCATTTCCTAAATATATTTCGCTAAAAAGAAGAATTATTATTGAGTCATTATTATTGACCTTCATAAATGAGGATGTTCCATCATTTAAACTTACTTAAAATTTCACTGTTGTAATTGAAAATTAATCCATAATACCATTTGTTGTTTTATCATAAAACAACATCATATAATTATCAGTTAAAGGTAAAAGGTTAATATTAATGGGGTAAACTGCTTCCGCGGGAAGAGTATAATTAAGATCTATATAATTGGTTTGTCCCGTTATTTTATTTATTATTCGTAGATGGAAATAAGGTAACATGCATTCTGGATCTTCATCTTCAAAGGCCATCCAAATCATCAAATAATCAACAGTGACTAAAGTAGTGTAAAGTTTTAGACCATTAATTGGTTCTTCGTAAATGAATGATATATTTTGGGTGATATCATATCTTGAAGGGATACAGTGTGTTAAGAAAAAAATTGATCTCTGAAAACTCTTATTGAACCAACAATAATGCATCAATTTTAACATAAATAACTTGTTTGAAAGTTTAAAACTAGAGCTTTCTAATGATATAAAAATTAAATAAATCAATAACAAGCTGACATCGTCTCTTTATTGATTGGATAAGATTAACCAAAAAACTATCTGGAATTTTATTCCATTCTTCAGCCATAAATTGTTTCAATTCATCAATATTTTGCGCATACGTTTTTCCACATTATACTTAACAATACTCCATAAATTTTCAATGGAGTTAAGGTCTGGGCTGTTTGAAAGCCAATCAATAATATCGGGAACGTGTATGCTTTGGATTATTATCCTGTTGGAACATCCACCTTCTACCAAGCATTCTTCTAATTTCTGGAATATGCTACCGTAAAATTTCAATATAAAATCTAGCACCATAATTTGTGTAAAGCAAAACAAACTTGTTTTTCCATTAGCGCAAATTCAGCCCATGCTAAAACTTTTTGCCGATTTTTTGGAAGAGGCCGAATTGGCTAGGACCTTATGCCAATATTTATTGTATTTCTAAACAATTGAAATGCTGTCTCGTCAGAAAATAATGTTTTTTCTCATCGATCATTAAGGTGATCTTGAGCCCACTCAATACGCTTTACTTTTTGAGCAGCTGTTAGCATAGGCGTCCCAATTGGTAAACTGTTTCTATAACCAAGTTCCCTACTGCACATGAGACACATTTAAACCATTTCTTGACAATTTTGTGAATTATTTTGACGAATATATCGGTTAAGTGATCGTAATGAATAACCCGTTGTTTTTTTAGGATGTCCATTCCCTTTTCTATGCAAAATATTGCCAGTTTCTTTCAATTTTTTGATGTTATATTTAATTGTTGAAAGGGGAATACCAGTTAATTTATGGATTTTTGTTTGGGAACATATTCCTTCATTCCAAAAATGCAAATAGTTTGACGTTGTGAAGTGAGGTTTTTAAGGACATTTGGTATTAAACAGATAAAGGTGATCAACGCTTTTAATTGAACATTTTTATTAAGAGACTTGAAAAATGTTTAATTTTTTACTTGGGGATTACAGAACACTTATATATGTTTCTCGTCATTTATATCTTGATTTGTTTATTAACTATTAATAACTTTTCTTTTTATCAAACATGTTTCGAAAAAAAAGAAACAAGCGTGTTTCAAAAAAAAAAAAGAAAAAAAAACGTATTTTAAAAAAAAAAAAAACCAAACGTGCTTCAAAAAAAAACAAACAAAAAAAAAGAAAAAAAATCCCCCCCAAAAAAGGGGGGATGATTTATATTGTAATACAATTTCAAGCATTTCTAGCTATTATTATACTACTTTCAAAATCCTGTTTTATTCACATATGTAAAATAAATGCTGTAATAAGTATGTTATAGAAATTTGAACTAGTCTATTAATAGTTAATTATAATTTAAATGGAAAAATTAATTGTTTTAGTCTGACACTCTTTGAAAGTAATTCTAGTATTTGATATGCGCATGTCAAAGAGAGTTAGTAGTAAAACGTCTATTACCTTGTACAAGTAAACTTTGGAAGCAATTAAACCATAAGCACTGGGATAAATAAAAAACATATCATAAATTATGCACACAAATAATATTTAATTTATCATAATTTTAGTATCACTGCTGGTAGAAAATTTTTGACATTTGGTGTATAAGCTTATGTTTCATCTTTCTGGATGCAAAATGGCGTAATAAACAATCCAATTTGCTGACATTTTAACATATTATTCCTCATCTATTGTACCTTGAGATATGAAACCATTACCATTTGTAAGACAACTCTGATGAAGCAGAACAGTATTTCATAAAAGTTTATATCTTAATTAAGAGCAAAACAATGATAGTGAGCGAGGGTAAGTAACACAGCATAAAAAATGGAGCATTATATTAAATTTTTTAAAATTTTTATGAGACATTCCTTCACCGGTTAAACCGATCTATTTTAAGATAACAATCCGTATGGAGACATGCTACACGTTACAATAGTACACTTAACTTATTCAGGGTAATATAAATATATAATAATTTACTAGAGATGATACAGTAAAAAATTTATTTCGTATTTTTTATTCCATGTTGTTTCCGTAAATGTATCATATTCACGGTCTCAAACATGAAAATTATCCAAAGTTACTTAAATTATTTTCTCGTAAATGTATCGTATTCACGGAGTTTTCAGAAATTACGTTTTAAATTAGTATTTCTATTTTTAACTTATAATTACGAACTAATAATAGTTAATAATCCTATTACTATTAAAAATTAAAGTAATTATTATTACTGTTCAAAAAGAATTTGTTAATAAAAATTGTTGAACTGCAATAAATATTAGTACAATATGTACATCTATACACCGCATAACCTCTCGCTTTCATGATTCCAAACTTTGTGAAGGAAAAATGAAAATGAGAAAAAGAATATGAAATGAGGATAAAGAAAGTGGAGAGGAGAAAAATTATTCTCTTAACACTGTGACTTGTGTGACTTGTTATTATTCTAGTGCCATTTCACGAATATCATGTAAGTTCATAGAAATTCAAATGTATAATGAATCCTAATATCCGTTGATACTTGACATAGCAGTTTTTTAACAAATTCTAATTCCTGTTTTTTTTGAAAAGTGAAATTTTACAACTAATTGGCGCATGGCCTTTAGCCATTTGTCGGGGTTGGATGGTTTGTCCATGACTAAAATGGTCAAAATATAGCCAATAAATCTATCACCACTACCAAAAATTAGGATAGTATGGTGATGATCACCACTTAATCTTTAGCCGCAGTTAAATGCCAATTATCATTTGGCCAAAATTTGGCTCTGCTGTCTTCAAAAAAATTAAAAGCAGGTTAGGGCGTTAGGCTATAGACTACATTTATTGTTACTGTAACGTTTCAAATACTATATGAATTGTTAATTAATCCTTTTCGATCTTACTATCTTAATTAAAATTTTATCTAATCGATCTTAATTCACCTAGACAAACATGCTGTCTATCCAGATCAGGACCCGTGAAATTGTCATGTGATTCTGGTAACAATAAATAACCCTATAATTTTACGCGTTTAATGATTTATACAAATTTGTATTTACCGCTTAATGCTACATTAAAAGAAAGTTATTACTTAACCTTTTTTTGAAATAAAAATGCATTAAGCGTTTTAATTTCCGTTACACTCTAACATTTTTAGGTTATTTACTAGTTCAGTCCTTGATAATATGTACTCAAACGTTTAACCCCTATCCTATTTATATAATAGCCTAAAAAGTGAATAATACGATACTTGAAACGATTATCTATTATCGATGTTGACGTTGAAGAGATAAGTCGCAGGAAATCTTTGAATACTAGTTAATAATGGTCTTTTTATGCAATTTTTAGGCTATACGGATCCATATCGAATTATCTGATATTACACAGCAAATGATTTTCTCATTTTGAATTGCATAACCGCAGGTATAATTAATTGTCTGAGAAGTTGGTAATAGTTAAAAATTACTATTGATATTTTATTATATAAAATTCGTAAAAATGAAAAAAAGGAAATGTTTATATGTTAATTTATCAAACAATTGAAGCAACTTTTGTTGCTGAAGAAATTAATAGTAATTAATAATTATGATGATGAGAATAACGACAATCATAGGGATAGTAGAAGTAATAGAGATATTGAATATACAACAATATCTGATGCAAAATATGGGATGAAGAAGAAAGCTTCAGTTAAAATTGCTAATTATATTTTAGTTTTCTTTATTCAGGTAAATATTTTTTTGAAATGTGATTAAATTTATAAATTTATAAATAATAAATAAATATATTTAAAAAATAAAGATAGTAGGTGAAATAAATTCTACTCATGAACAACTTGAAAATAGAGACTGATACAAGTATGACGACAATTGTTTTTTATTAATTAGAAATTTTTAATTTTTAATTAGATATGGCCGTATTGGGTACATCAATAAAGTGGCACATGAGTCAACAATATTTTTTTTTTTTCACATTATTTAATCCTTGTTATTAGTATTTTATTATATATCCTTATAGGATCACTGTATTTTTTTTTACATTTATTGAATAGCTTTATTGATTATATATAATAAATGAATACTGTTTAAATCATTATCAAATACATTAATAAATTAGATTTTATACAATAAAACCTTAAATAGACTATAAATTAACTCGTGACTGATTTAACGTGAGAGTCTATATAATAAAACACTTATTGTATAAGTCTTTAGGCTGTTTTCGATCTCAGCCATTTGATCGGTCAGATTGTGAGACCTATACAATAAGTATATAATACAACACTTCTTTATAGACTGCATTTCTTGTCTGACAATTCTGAGAACTGTTATAATTATAATTTAGAGATCGCGAGTTACTATTATTCAAAGTCATATGTAGGATTACGCGATTACATATCACACATATTACACAATAGATCACGGACGATGTAGGGACGCTTACAATTGTAATTTTATTTGTACGGTTATTCAAAATATCACAATTCTTTAATTATATAGATGTAGCTTTGGTAAAACAATTAGAAGATAAATAACTGAAGATAAATCAACTGTCGGTTTCAAGAAAAAAAAATGAGAAGAAAGAATTAACTCCCATGCAAGTAGATAAGAAAGAAGAAAAAATTCATAAAAATGAGAGAGAAAAAAAGAAGAATGGAAGACTCCCTTCGCCAAATCAGGTGACACAGAAGTAGACAAATATCAGAAAATCTTCTCAGCGAAGTGGTAAAGGTTATTAAAGAAGTAAGTGAGCAGGTGAAGTTGTTGCGTTACCAAGTAAGGCAGAAGTTGAACTAAGAAACGATACATATATTGATTAGATAAGGAATTACGCTAATAAATATAAAGACAAAATTAACTTCCCATAAACTAATGCGCGAAGAATTATTATAATGATTTAAACATATATTTCAAGATATGGCATTAAAATTGAATGAACATCTGAGGGTAAAAAAAATTAACAGATTTGATAGAAGAGAGAAATTTGGGGGATAATGCCCTCCAGGTATTTCTTGTCGTTTTTTTTAATTGCGTGTTCTCATGGCAAAATTGTGGACGAACATTTGTCAATTACTTTTGTACTTTGTTAGCTTCGATAGTATTATATCAATGATTGTGTTTAATTCGAAATATATTTGTGTACACATTAATCTATGATACAAGAATGCATAGCTAATACTCTTTTTCCAACAATTTGTTATGCAACGTTAGATATGTCTAGCATGAACTGTTGTTCTTAGACAGTTAAAAACGGAAATTGCTGCTTTCTCTGTGAGTAACATATGTCCTAATGTAAATAAAGTTTTCAGTAGTGATCTGTCTATAAAATTCGAATGATATGGCCATTTGCTGACAACATGAAACCTCATGCAGTAATAATAGTTCTATAAACGTGATTAATTGTTACACTCCTGAAAGAAAATGTGGTTTGTA